CTACAGTGAGATTGAGTTTAGTAAAGAAAGCACCTCCATGGAGTTCATCCAGCATGTCATCTACAGGGATGATAAACTTGTCTTTGATGGTGACTGAATTGAGGGCTTGGTAGTTGGTACAAAACCTCTAAGTTTCATTTTTTTTGCACACCAATAGCACCAGTGAGGAGAACGGACTGGTATTTGGCCGAATCAGCCCTAAATCAAGCATTATATTCACCTTTTTTTCAATTTTACTTTTCTGAAAATAGGCATACCTGTATGGTTTGACATTGATGGGTTCAACCCTTTCCTTCAAATTGATGCAGTGATCAATGTCTCGGCAAGGAGGAACGGATTGCAGATCTTTGAAGAGATCCTAGTACTGATCCAAGAGAGCTTGCATATTTGGATGGAGGTGGAGCAGAGAGGTGTTGTTTTCTGTCTGTAGATACATTGCGAACAGAGATGAGTGTCGAAGCGTGCTTTTAGTGACTTCTTCAGCTAAAGCAATCTGGAAAGGTGGAGTGTCAAGGCCCCGTACTGCCGCAATCGACCACCCCACTGGAATTCTATGGTCATCCAACCCCAATCACACATGATCGCTCATAATGCTTCCATCCATTGAATTCTAAGAACAAGATCGAGACCAGTTAATGGTAAATTAAAAAAAGTCAAATGAAAGAGTGTACCTTGGATGTTAACCGACACATTTACAAATCATCCATGATATCTCATCGGACTACATTCGCAACCTTGACCGAGAAGGCTTGAGTCAGGAACACTGATGAAGTTGTGAGTCGAGCCGCTGTTGATAAGGATGACGTGCATTGACTGTAGATAGTTATAGCAACATGCATCATTTTTGTGGTGGACACAATGAAAGCATGAAGGGAAATTTCGGGCTCTTCTTCTTTCGGTTCTTCTTCTTTTTTTTTTCAGTCCCTTCCAAGAGTACGACTTGAGCTCGGCGACAGCGGTGGCCTACAGTAAATTTCTCGTTGCAGTTGAAGTAGAGGCCCTGCATTCGACGTCACTACATCTCTTTCCATGAGAGGCACTTCGGGGTGGAATCTGCAGCTAGGGTTGGGGACGGGCTGATCGGGTTACGTTCGACCTGATTGAACCTTCTCTGTCGACCCACTTACTTCTCTTTCATACGGGCCAAACTGATGGCCTCTTTTAAGGATTTGGGTCTAAACATCTGAATACCTTCATCAATTTCAGGCTTTAGCCCGCTAATAAATGTACCCACCAGAGCCTTTTGAGTCCAGCCTCTCACTTTATTGCCTAACTTCTCAAATTCTTTTTGGTAATCTCGTAAGGGCCCGATATGCCTTACTCTGGATAGGGCTTCATCGAAGTCTTCACATTCGGGTGGCCCAAAACGAGCCCAGACCTCTTCTTCAAATCCTGTCCATGTCACCACTCTTCCTTTTTCTTGATAAGTCTGGTGAAGCCATTGCTACCACTGGTTGGCTTCGCCCTCCAGGTGGAAAGAAGCTAGTTAGACTTTCTATTCTTTGAAAATTCCTTGATACTCAAAGAATTGTGCGACGCGGTTGAGCTATTCGGTCAGATCATCTCCAAAAAAGATAAGAAATTCCAACTTGGTGAGTTTGGAGAAGAATGGCTGTCGGCCACCG